GCACGAAGGAATACTGCGCGGTGGTGACATTCGACGTAAAGAACGCCTTCAATTCGGCATCCTGGCCTCACATACTAAGTGCTCTGGAAAGAAAGAACACGCCGCCCTACTTGCTAAGGATGGTATCCAACTACCTATCTGACAGACTTCTGCTGTATGATACCGACGAAGGCCCCAGGAAGTACTTGGTGACGGGTGGAGTACCACAGGGCTCCGTACTTGGGCCACTACTTTGGATTGTCCTCTATGATGGAATTCTGGGACTGCCGCTGCTAAGGGAGGTACAAATTATCGGATACGCCGATGATATAGCAATAACAGTAGTGGCCAAAGACCTCTACCAAGTTGAGAACATCTGCAACAGCACGGCGCAGCAAATAAAGAACTGGCTCGCTGCAACGAATCTCCAACTCGCAGGGCAAAAAACCGAAGCGGTGGTGATCACAAGCCGAAAAAAGATGGAGAGCGCTACGCTCAACATCGATGGACATAGCATCAAAACACAGCAGTCGCTGAAATACCTGGGTGTCATGATAGACTCGAGATTAAGCTACAAGGTGCACATTGATAAAGCTTGTGAAAAAGCGGCAAGAGTGACCACGGCTCTAACAAGACTAATGGCTAACATCGGTGGACCGAGCCAAAACAGACGAGCGCTTCTAGCAAAAGTGAGCCAGTCCATACTAATGTATGCAGCACCCATCTGGGGACCCGCGTTGCAGCGCAAGACTTACGCGAAGGCGGCAAAGTCGGTGTACCGACTAAATAGCATCAGGGTGACTAGCGCCTTCCGTACTGTGTCACACGAGGCGGTCGGAGTCTTAGCGGGCATCATGCCCCCAGAAATAATGGCCATGGAGCTAAAAAGACAAATGGACATGGAGGCAAAGACACTGGGATGTGACGACAAAAGGGAGGTGGACGCACAGGCTGATCAATAACATAAAAGCGTGGGTGGAGAGGAAACACGGAGAGACCGACTTCTACGTGACACAGTTGCTGACGGGGCACGGCTGCTTTCGAGAATACCTGTTCAAATATGGGCATGATGACGGGACAGAGTGCCCATTCTGCGGTAGCGGCGACGAAAACGTACTACACGTATTTTTCCACTGCCGAAAATACGAGGCAGATCGAACAGACATAGAGCAGCTGATAAAGGAGAGCATGACGCCTGACAATATCGTGGGGCACATGATAAACTCAAAAGCGGTGTGGAGCAGAATTAAGGCGTGGTCCGCAATAGTCCTCCAGGAGCTAAGAGCGAAAGAACGACAGCGCAGTAGCGAAAAGAGAAGACTGAACGAGAGATAAGCCAGAAAGGCGTGTGTGAAGAGCCAATTGGCAAAGCTACGCCTTGCGACGTAATACCTAACGGCGGTCCCGCAAGGCGAAACACAAGGCTTCAGACGTCGGAGTTAAGGGTTTAGTACGTAGGCGCGCTGTCTCGCAAGTCCTGAATTATGTGATAACATAGTCTGGGCGTGGTCCCGAATGAGGTGCACCCTTAGCGGACAGGATGACGAATCGTGCATAACATCTTTGGAAGATTCCCCCTCCGTTGAAAAAAAAAAAAAAAAAACACACACACACACACATACACACACACACACACATGCATACGCACACACTCATTATTTCTTATATACATATGTACTTATTTTATTTATTTATTTCAGTCTTGTAATTTATTTATTTTAGTCTTGGAATATATCGAACCCTAACCGCCAAAATAACGTAAGCGACATTTTTTTTTATTTTCTTTTTGATGCAGAAATGCATCTAGATGCTCTAGGACTATTTCTGCATCAAAAAGAAAATAAAAAAAAAATGTCGCTTACGTTATTTTGGCGGTTAGGGCTCGGTATGTTATTATGAAGAACATTTTATTTCTTATGAATTTCTTTAACCAGTTCAGTTACGCATTGTGAGCACTGTGACCATTTGTTGTTCTCTCTCTGCTCGTGCATTTTCCACTTCTTGCATTTTTTGATCTCTGGTTTTCATGCTTTGCAGAAACATAGATAACATTTCTTCTGACTTGATTGGTTTTTCACGTGTAGAGATACTTGGAGAGCTTTGTAGCTGCACAACAGAAGAACTTGGATGCGATGGAAGAATATCAGTAGAAGTCTCCCCAATTCCATGTGTGAGGAGCAGCGAAGCACTTGGGCTGATTGCACCTGCAATTACAGGGCTTGGAGGCAGCGGGGTACTTGGACCGATTACATCTATACTTCCAGGGCTTGAAGGCAGCGGGGCACTTGGACCGATTACATCTGTAATTTCAGGGCTGGGAGGTAGCAAGGCACTTGCATCGATTATATCTGTAATTTCAGCGCTAGGAGGCAGCGAGACACTTGGGCTTATAACATCTGCAACTCCAGGGCTGAGAGGCAGTGGTACACTAGGGCTGGGCGTCTCCAAAAACCCAGGGCTAAGAGGAAGTGACTCTCCGTTACTTGCGACTGCAACGCCTAAAGTCCTTACATGTACCAAACCGCCAACTGCTGCTGTTCCAAATGTGTCCAGCGCTAGCTCTTCGAAGTCACTGAGAGGTCTGTTAGCGGATGGTCCACCACCAGTCAGTCGTTGGTCCATTTTAATGCGTCGCGCTCGCGTGCCTAATTGATTTTTCCATTTCCCTAATGTCTGTAAAGAAAACAACGTAGCCATTGATGCACAAAATGAGTAATATTGCATATATGTATACACAACCTCTCTCCATTTGATTGCCGTGCGTGTTGGACCATTTAAGGAGTTCAGCCCCTGTGCTACCTCCTCCCAAAGACTATGCAAGCAAAATGTGGTTTGCTCACATGTAGTAAATGCCTACATATGTACAAATATACATATAGCAGCAATTAATTTCATTTAAAGAAATGGCGTGTCGACCATTTCCGCTGTAGCGTATGTAGTGCATATTTTTAACTTCTTCTGGCGAGGCGACATCTATCTCTAGAGTTTTTCTAATTCTATGTCTTTGATATGATACCTACGACGAGGCTGACACCTAGACTGGGTTTGCCATAAATACCTTTGCTATATTTATAGTGTGGTGGTCTGGACATACAATATTGCAAGTTGATAAAAGGGTTGTAATGTAATAATAATAATAATAATAAAATGAGAATGTGTTTGTGAGCTTGAGCTCGAATTTATCATGATAAAAAAATAGGAAGGTAGAACGGCTGGGAGGAATTTTTCCAATTCTTGACGTTTGCAAGCAATTTAATTTTAAAATTTTACACACACTTTCTCATTTTCAATCTCAAACAACAACAACTTTGAACAATTCCTTTTTTTGCTCTCAATTTTATACGATTTTAAAATGTTGGCAAACTTCAAAGAAAAAATCATGGCCGACGAATTGAGAGAACGCTTTTACCCATGATTCAATTATTAAAGGTTTTGTAAGTAGCTTTTTTCTAAAATTTGGCACTCCCACCCACAGGGATGGTTTATGGAAGCAGGGGAAAAAGGGGAAGAATTCAATCACACTTCCTAAAATGGGAGCTAAATTCCATAAAAAGGTGTGGATAATAGTGAATGGTGGTATTTTAAAACAAAAACGAATTTGATTTAATTATTTAATTTAAACAAGCTTATTTACATCGAATATAACCCCCGATTGTTATTGGAAATAAATATTTCTATGTATATACCAAACTTGCGTACGTCAGATCGGGCATAACTCGAGAATGGATGGTCCACTTTCAGCTTTTTTTTTTGTTGTATTTGTTTGACAGATGATGGATATGAAGAAGCTATTTGTTTGTGGAAAATATGCAGTATTTATTAAACAAAAAAAAAACGGCAAATAAAAAAATTTGGAGCTTACGTTTCCTTCGCGGATATGGCTCGATTGTTTCGAATATGGTAATTCGAATTCTTTGATGTCGCACTTTTAATATTCTGGGGAGACTATACAACTGTCAGAATATTAACCATTCGCCGGGTTGCCCGAAACAAAAATTTGAATGATTAAAAATATCAAAATATAAAAAAATATAAAAATATTCGCCATAAAAAGGCGTTTGCATTGTTCAACTTTGCATTCTACTTTCAACTAATCGCTTTCAACAAAGTTGGTCGCCAGCCAACATTCGCCTCGTGCGTAAACCTTTTAAGTGTGCAATTACATACATCGCGCCATTGACTAAACCGAGCTGTCGTGTGACGATTGGGCCTATGGATGCGGTTTGGCAATATTATATTGCGTCAAAGCCTCATTCGGAGACACCAGGAGTGTGTTGTGGAGGACAATACCTAAATACCTTCGTTGGCTCATTTACCAAAACCATTGCATGCTTTACTTTACAGCGACTTGGCAGAATCAAGAGGTCTCCACGAATATCGACAAATATATTTCGGCATTTAAGAGAATTTCGTCTCTTTAGCCTACATTGAATTTCTGTAGTCCAACGATGCTCACCCATTTTGTCTTGTTGGCGCCAGCGAATGAAGAACAAACATTTCTTCAAATTTAAAAAGTAAAAATTTCACTACTAACGATTTAAAAATGTTCTTAAAACTTGCAAAGATATTTGGAAAAGAAATATCACTGTTTTTGGTTTTAGGAGTAGGGTGGGAGTGTCATTGATAAAATTAGAGCGAGAGAAAGTTTTTCTTACAAAACCTTTCATTATTGAATCATGGCTTTTACCCATGATAAAAACATTATAAGGTAAATTCATTATCTCAATTCGTCGGCCATGATTTTGTTTCTGACGTTTGCACGCATTTTAAAATCATATAAAATTGAAAATAAAAAAATTAAATTGTTCACAATTGTTGTTATTTGAAAGTGAAAATGAGAATGTTTGTGTGAGTTTGAGTTTTGAATTTTTAAATTATATTGCTGGCAAACGTCAAACTACGTCTCAATGGTTTTACCTTGTTATGTTTTTATCATGCTTTTACCTATGTTTTTATCATGAAAATTATATTGCTGGCCAACGTCAGACTGTCTCTCAATGATTTTACCTTGTAATGATCATGGTGGAATAATACAAGGTGTTGGATATTGACAGCGTTCTCGCTCTAATCCGCCATCTTGGCTCCCTTAGCTATATCAGTGTTTCCCTCTTGAAAAAACTACATTTTATCGCCTTTAAAAAAGTACTAAACTACCTCATTCCCTATTCCAAAACTGATTTGCAATCATTGAACAATTCTTTGACATTTACTCTATTCTTATCGTTGGCAACTGAAAATTAAATTAGAAATTTCAACATTAATTCGGCAAAAAAACATCGGTTTAGAGTTCTCCCCAAGGATTTGTAGTTATTTTGGTCGGTGCTTCCTTCCGCTGCAATTCCGTCTGTGGTTCACTGCCACTGGCCTTGCTTTTTCAACGATATAACTGTTTTCTTGGTAAGTTTAGATGGAAGATTTAAACAAGAACTATGTATTTAACTATGCATCTATTCCCCAGTGATTTTTGCTGCTGCAATCCCGTCTGTGGTTCACTGCCACTGGCCCTGCTTTTCCAACGATATAACTGTTTTTTTGGTAACTTCTACCGCTAAGACTTTGTTGCTTTTTCCCTTTTCCCTAAAAACATAATAGTGCTACAAAGCTCAATAACAATATGGAAACAAATGTTAATAAGCCACAATAATATTGACAATAAATAATATTTCACTACGATTGAATTTTCTATTAGTAACAGGGTAGTTATAGTGAATGTTTTATTCGATAACTAAAACTATATTTGATGTTTGTAGCGATAAAAATATGCCTAAATCAGCCAAATACCCTATGTGGGTCGGCTGAATCAGTAAAACGTGACAGTAGTTGACTTTTGAGGTTAATATATCGGTCTTGAGTTGGTAAGGTTTTTAAAACATCCGCAGCTTCCTTTAAAGCATCGCTGCTAATTGCCGAGAGGACCAGATTATATTTACCGACATAAGATGTGGTCTTGTACGACTGAAAGGTGGCCTCAATTTGTAGAAACCATTTGTCTGGCATCTCAGTTCAGAACGGTCGCAGCTTGCATTGCGATGCAAGCTCCACATCTTTAGTTGGCATTTTGTTCGATGAAATATTCTCCCCATCCGTCGATTCGCCCTTTTGTCGATTCCGTCATGTTGTAACGACTCGGGGTCACCACTAATTTTTTGGTTTTGGAAGTTTGACTATAATTATAGGACATTGTGTTTAATAAACTAAATTACCATTTATTGCATAAGTACTACGTTATATATACTACTTTCGCGAATTTAGCTTATCATAATATACCGTTTGTAACTATTTATATGCAAAATTTTATATGAAAAATAGTACCAAATTTCGTAATACTTCGCAAAGCGGGCTTTTTTTCTTCCCGTTTCTCTCGTGCTTCCATATTACAACCTTTTGTAAGGGAGCTGTCGACATGAGCTGTCACTACGTACAACACCTTGTATAATTCCACCATGGTAATGATTTTATTGTTCGAAATTGTTGTTGCTTGAGATTGAAAATGACTATATTTTTATCATGGGAAATGCTTATAAACAGGGAACGGATTTTTAGGACCTAAAAACCCATAAAAAAGGCAAAATAAAATAACGAAATATGCTGGAAAAGGCAAAATAAAACAGCGAAAAAGGCAGGAAAATGTATTAGATATTGCAAAAAAAGCATAGAAATGTTTATATTATAAGTAAAAAGAGAAAAACTATGAACTAGTTTCATTATATGAAAAATTTGTACTTTGAATCTTTGACTATTTTATCCTTTCGAGTTTCTAACTCATAAAACTTTAATCTGTATAATTGTAGTAACTTTGAACCACAAGTTGCGTTTTGAAGTTTTCTGGCAGCATTTCCATTAGATTTTCGCGAAGAAAAGCCTTGAATGTACTAAATGTGCGCTCGACGTAAGTTGATACAAGTGGAGCCCAATTTAAATATGGAACGTTTCAAACGTTCATATTATCAGGAATATGGGCATTTTCCTCGCCCTTTACAATTTTATCCACACCCCTTATTGTCTCCAAGCCTACGTTAGCTGAGAAAACGGCTTTGAATTTTTCCAATTTTTTTAGTGGAAGGTGTTGCTCATTTTCTCCATACAAAAACTAATTGTTGAATTACTTTGTATGGAAGAACTTGCGTGAAAAAAAATTACCACAAATCAATGCGATTTTCTAGCGACTTCAAACTTGCACTTTGTTATTCTAAATTTGAATGGGCTATAAAACTGCATACTTAGAATTTTTCTAAAAAATCTGAATAAAAAGTTACAAATAAGTGTGCAAATTTAATGAATTTTCCTGAGTTTTGCACAAAGTTTGGAGATTTTATTATTGGCTGCGTTTCTTTATACATTCCGGATAATCCCATTTCACAGCCGGAATAAACAGAATGTGTTTGAAATATACGTTAACATATCATCAGGAACGTTCTAAAGAATAAGTAAACAAAAAAGTTTATTCCAAACGTTCAGAATGAATAATGAAATGCAGCCCTTATGTTTTCTGGTGTAGAATGAACAATATTTTTACAAAAAATTATCGAAAATAAATTATAACAAAGAACTTTGCATATATTGCGAAAAATTCACTTCTGTTCGGCACTGTATGTATTTTTCCACTTTTTCTCAGCAGTTGCTGTAACCGAATGGATGCTTGTTCGACTGCCAACTTGTTGGTCATGGGTTCAAAACCTATGACACGGACCTTTTTTACTGCTTTTACTATTTTTTTTTTATTCACCAATGCTTATTTAAAATTTGGTCAAGATAAAATTAGTAAAACGAAGGTATTGATGAATAAGTGATTTTTTTTTCTTTTTATGACGATGAGAGATATTTCCAAGCAAAATGAAAATTGCGCCCCAAAACTTGACAATCGAAAAATGTCACAATGCCGTTAGTTGCAAGCTTTCACTCGTTTCACTGGTGGCCTATTTATGGTAATTTTTTCTTCCTTTAGTTGCGTTGTTATTATTTATAAGCAACATATAAGGGCTATTCGCGATCCGGTGCAAATGGCCTAGCATCATTGCATTGCAAATTTGTATTGCAAATTATTTGCAATACACAAACAAAATACACGCATTTGCATTTGTCATGGCTTGGCAAATTTGCAATACCGAAAATCCATAGCATAAAAATGCTATGCATTGCATTCATAAACAAAACCAAAGCTGATGCACAAAAATTGTTTTGCAAAAGCTTTACCATGACAGTTTAATAAAGGTCGCTCACAATCCATGGCATATTTCTGCAATTGCATAAATTTGTCAGCTCTTATGCACCGAATCGCGAATAGCCCTATAGTTTTAAAACAAGCCTTATCGCAGTCGCTGTTTGGATAAGGGAATTTTTCCATTTGAATGCAGTTAGTCTGCATTTCCTCTGCTCTTCATCCAAAATCCTAGGAAGCACTTCAGGCATTCACCTATTATTGTCCGCAAAATGTGCAAAACGGCGTCCGTTGGCGCTATTTGACTTCTTCGTGTAGTAGGAATGCGTCGGTCTTCGACAGCACTCGGCTGGGTATTGGACCAAACCAACTTTTTTTAAGAGATTTTTGTCATAAGTAAAAAACCACCTACTGAGCACCAGTGATGGAAAAGTAGGTACAATTGTACTTTTTTCGGCTCTTTTTCAACATGAAAGTACATTCGGTACATTGCTTCCATTTTAAGTACATTTTAAGTTTGGCCAAATTATTTGTCAAGGAAATTTGTATGCCGATTTTCTTTTGCCAAGTGGATTTTGGTTAAACATATTAAAACATAGAACTTTTTGATAGTGTGCCATTGGGAATGAAACATTTAATAGCATGTCATTGTGAACGAGATATGTGAAACGAAGAAGTAACTAGCTTTTATGTGCGCGCAATTTGAATGAATAATTAATGAAAGCCGACAAATTAGAGAAACTGCAATGGATAAGTAAGTTTCAAACCGTTTTTTTAATACAAACTATTTCATTTTTGAAACGTGAAAATGCAGCTGCAGGCAATGATGAGAAGTAAGTGTGACAAAGTTCAACTAGCGCAAAAAAATTTACCGATAGCATTTTTCTCATATTTAAGCAATAACGAAGAAAGCAACGTAGTTTCCGTGGCGAAAAAGAAAAAGTATGAGATCAAATTTAAGAGGGAGTGGGCATCCAAGTACAATTGGCTCCAAGAAGACTCTACCGCAAAGCAAGGTAAGAGGTGCATGATATGCGGTGTTCCAATTTACGGCAATATGTTTCACATCGATCGGCATGCAAATTCAGACCTCCATAAAAAAAATGCTAATATTGCTAAAGCAACCTTAAAAATTTCGAGTTTTACTAAGCCGAATAGCGAGGAAATGGAATTAAGTCGCTCAGCAAAGGCAATGGAGATTCGTTTGTGTATGTTCGTTGCTGAGCACAATTTGCCATTTACTGCTTTGGACCATTTGGCAAAATGTATTAAAACGGTAAAAGATTCACGCATAATTTCAAACCTGAGCATAAATAGACATAAGGGTCAAAATATTATAAAGTCAGTCAATGGTCCTGAAAACTGCAGACAAATTTCTGAAATAACAAAACAACAATATTACTCCGTGATCATTGATGAAAGCACTGACATTTCCATGGACAAAAACTTAGCAGTTATAATTAGAGTTTTTACGAACAAATGTAGAGATAGATTTTTGGACTTTGTTCAAGTGTCTGATTCTTCTTCCGCCGGAATTTTCAATGCGCTTTTAAAAGTTTTGAATGATCATGATATTCCGTTGAGCAATCTATTGGGATTTACGGCAGATAATTGCGGTGTCATGATGGGCAAACGAAATGGCGTCCAAGCAAAATTAAAAGAAATTTGCCCTAAAATCTTTGTTATTGGCGATGTATGCCACAACCTTAATCTATCGTCCGAGGCAGCTGCATCAGTTCTTCCACAAGAAATAGAAAAGTTAATTCGCTCTATAAATCACCACTTCTGTCATAGCGCTAGTAGAAAAATAGAGTTTGAAAAATTTCAAGAAGATTTTGGAAGTGCGGTTCATAAGATTTTGCGATTTAGTTCAACACGATGGCTTTCGCGGCAGGTAAATTTTCTTTTTAATAATAGTTGTTCAATACATTTTTTTATTTGAAGTANTCAGTTCTTGGTCCAATACTTTTTTTGATTTATATCAATTCAATTTTTTCTTTGCCACTGAAAGGCAAAGTAACTGCTTTTGCTGATGACCTTGCCATTACTTATTGTACTTCGAGCTACTTTGAAGCAATATGTGACATTAATCACGACATACATCTACTCAGAATCTGGTTTGCATTGCATAAACTGTCTGTAAGTAGTAAATCTAAGCTTATGTACTTTAGCCTCGTTGCCAAAGAATCCCCAAACTGTGATATTTTGTTTCATTCTTCAGATTGTCTGCGTTTTAATTTGCATAATAATGAGTGCTCTCTGAATGAGTCAAAAAAGTCTTTCGCGTGCACAGTCAACTGCGACGATACTTGTTTCCAGCTTGAAAATGTTGAAAAGTTTAAATACCTAGGAGTAGTAATAGACAACCGCTTAAATTGGTCTGAACATTTAAATACGTTAAAACAATACTTTCTCTACACCAGTCGTCATTTATACCGCCTTAAAAAGATTTGTTCTACTTCTACACTAAAAGTGGTTTATTACGGAATATTTCAATCGAAGCTGCAATACGGTATCAGCTGTTGGGGTGGTGCTTCGGCTAGTAAATTGTCCACCATTATTACAATTCAAAAGTGCATAATTAGACGTATCTGTAACGCAAATCGTAAAACTCACTCTATGCAATTTTTTAGATTGCTCAATATATTGCCGGTGCGACATTTATACTGCTTTAAAGTTTTAAAACTTTTTTTATCAAATCTGGATACTTGAAAAGTCTTCCGTCAGAAATTTATAACCTGCGCAGGAACTTGCTTCCAATTGTTCACGTTCCGCCTGCTCGTACGTCTCACTTTAGATGTTTTTATACGTACGCCTCTTGTAAATTGTTCAACTCACTTCCTGCTTCTGTACAGGTCATAAGAAATCTCAGTTTATTTCAAAAGAATGTTAAAGTTCACCTGTTCAACTTAAACCACTGTAAAATTGAAGCCTTGCTGAGGTGTATATTGTAATCTGAGCATATCATAAAATAATGTATGTAATGTAAATATAGTTTTTTTTTTTTTCTCTCTTTGGAGTCTCTTGTATTTGTATCGACTCTTTGTATTGATTCTTTCTAACGTTATTACATATTTGTTTACTTTTATTTTTCAATGTTCACCCCACAAAATGTATACTATTCATTGAAATTGGCATTTAAAACTATTTTACTTTGTATTATAAATAATGCCATTAACTTTTCTAATGCAGCATTGATGTACTTATTGAACGCAACATGAATTTAGAATACTGTGTTAATCTGTATGCATTAAGAAAATGAAATAAATGAAATGAATGAAATGAAAAAAATGAAAAAAGTAAGTTCTCCGTTTTTCGAAGTTAGCCTCCGAAATCGAAATTCGAAGTTCGAAAATGGACCTTTGGTAAAAAATTATTATTTTTAATTATTGCATGCAAAAAGCCAAAAAAAAGTAAAAATGCAGACGCGGTCCGCTTTTTTCTCTTATTCATACGGTATATAACTTTTTTTGTGAAAAATTATATTACAGGTGCTATAACGGGTCAAAGGTCAGATCTTCGAAAAATTAAAAACTTAATATTACAGAAAATTTTGAACTGATTTTTTAAAGAGTCACATCGTTGTAAAGATGATTTAATCCCATTTCTTGTGATGTGCATATTGTATTGTATTCTTCGTATATAAAAATTTGAGAAAAAACACATTTAAAGGGAAAAATAACTTTTTTTTATAAAAAAAATATTTTAAACAAGAAAATGAACCACCGATTTTTAAGCAATTGATACCGCTGTAAAGGCATATTTGTACACCTCGTGAATAAAAATTTGAGAAAAACAACTTTTTTTATCAAAAAATATTACTCACCGATTTTTAAAAAAAGGTAGTGTCTATTCGCACTATGTCAGTGTCACCAGTGTACCAGTGTCACCAGTGTAGCAGTGCCACCAGTGTCGCCAGTGTCACCAGGTTCACCAGTGTACCAGTGCCGGGAGTCTTCGGCTCTGCCAGTGTACCAGTGTCGCCAGTGTCACCAGTTTACCAGTGTCACCAGTGTCACCAGTGTCGCCAGTGTCACCAGTGTACCAGTGTCACCAGTTTCACCAGTGTCACCAGTGTACCAGTGTCACCAGTGTCACCAATGTCGACAGTGTCGCCAGTGTACCAGTGTCGCCAGTGTCACCAGTGTACCAGTGTCACCAGTTTCACCAGTGTCACCAGTGTACCAGTGCCACCAGTTTCACCAGTGTCACCAGTTTCACCAGTGTACCAGAGTCGCTGGTGTCGCCAGTGTACCAGTTTCACCAGTGTCACCAGTTTCGCCAGTGTCACCAGTTTCAACAGTGTCACCAGAGTCGCAAATGTCACCAGTGGCGCCAGTGTCACCAGCGTCGACAGTGTCACCAGTGTACCAGTGTACCAGTGTACCAGTGCCACCAGTTTCACTAGTGTACCAGTGTCACCTGTCACCAGTGTACCAGTGTCACCAGTTTCACCAGTGTACCAGAGTCGCTGGTGTCGCCAGTGTTACCAGTGTACCAGTTTCACCAGTGTCACTAGTTTCGCCAGTTTCACCAGTGTCACCAGTTTCACCAGTGTACCAGAGTCGCTGGTGTCGCCAGTGTTACCAGTGTACCAGTTTCACCAGTGTCACTAGTTTCGCCAGTTTCACCAGTGTCACCAGAGTCGCAAATGTCACCAGTGGCGCCAGTGTCACCAGCGTCGCCAGTGTCACCAGTGTACCAGTATCGCCAGTTTCACCAGTGTCACCAGTATATCAGGGTCACCAGTGTACCAGTGTCACCAGTGTCGCCAGTGTCACCAGTTTCACCAGTGTCACCAGTGTACCAGTGTCACCAGTGTCGCCAGTGTCGCCAGTGTCACCAGCGTACCAGTGTCACCAGTTTCACCAGTGTACCAGTGCCACCAGTTTCACCAGTGTCACTAGTTTCGCCAGTTTCACCAGTGTCACCAGAGTCGCAAATGTCACCAGTGGCGCCAGTGTCACCAGCGTCGCCAGTGTCACCAGTGTACCAGTATCGCCAGTTTCACCAGTGTCACCAGTATACCAGGGTCACCAGTGTACCAGAGTCGCTGGTGTCGCCAGTGTCACCAGTGTACCAGTTTCACCAGTGTCACCAGTGTCACCAGTTTCGCCAGTGTCACCAGTTTCACCAGTGTTTTTTTTTTTTTAAATATTTTTTATAAGAAAAAATTTGTATGTGTTTTTTTTTTAATTCTTACATACGAAGTATACAAATATGCATATCAGAAGAAAGGGGGTTTGATCGCCTTTACAACGATATACAGTTTTTAAAAATCAGTTCAAAATTTTTTAAATGAACTTTGACCCCCTATAACACCTGTAATATAAGTTTGCACAAAAAAAATTATATACCATTTAAATAAGAGCAAAAGGAGGACTACGTCTATATTTTTAGATTTTTAGTTATTTATACGCAATAATTAAATATAATTTNGATGTCGTTTTTAGACAGACTTTAACGCCGTGTCCGTCGGCGGCATTTTTTTATGGGTATCAAACTAAAGAGGAAATTCTGTAGAATTTAATCAGATTCAATTTTTTGGTGCGTAATAAGTATTGCAAATGTCCTTTTAATATTTTATCCTTGAAATTTCGCAATATTTGTTTTTGTAAATTTCGTCCTTCTAACTTTATCAGTTTAAAAAATTACCTAATTGTCCTTGTAAATCCCAAAAAAATATTTTGTTTAAATTCTAATNGCCCATATCTCGATTTCGAAGGCTAACTTCGAAAAACGGAGAAATTACTTATCTACATGACTAAATCTCTTTAAAAAAATTGGTTTGGTCCAATACCCGGAAAAAAAGTTGATTTTGCCNTTTCTTTTTTCATTTGGTACCCATATTTTTATTCTACATTGCATTGAATTAAAAAAAAAATGGAATTAATCTTATATTTGAAATTAAAGTCCCTAAAAGAAATCCTGACGTCAGAGAGAAAAAATAAAAACGTNAGTTAACTATGGAAATTCGTATCGCCTGAAAATATACAAATTCTAAAAATCAATACTTTTCTATTCAAATTTGAAATTCGTTCCACAAAAAAAAATTATTTCACAAGAGTTTAACTATGGGGGCATGCTGGTTTAAACTTTTGTTAACTGAGCGTTGTGAATATGAAAATCAATAGTTAAACTCTTATCTGTGATAAACTACGCACTGTGAATTTGGCCCTAAGTATAAAGCTTTTATGCCGATCACATGTATTTCAATGAAGCCTGTACATTACGATTCATAATAATGTTTTCGCCTAATCGTAAAAGCTCCATGAATGGAAGCGCTCAACATTGTAAGGCGCATGCAATTTTGAAATCGTCATTTGTTTACTTTTTTGTATTGAAAATAAGAATAACTTGTCAATTCAATATTAAATAATTTAAAATGAATGATTTCGTGCTAAAGTTCGGCATGACGGAACGATTACTCCACTTTGATTAGGCGCGTAATGTGCGGAGTAGGAATGTTAGTCCCAGGATCCCGGCCTTTTTTAAGTTCCGAAGTTTCCAAGAATCCCGGGATTTTCGGGATTTGGAATTTGTACCCCTTTTCTTGACCAGTATTGGCTTNATAATAGAAAGGTTTTGTAATAAAACAGTCTTCTCGCTCCCACATACAAATTCGGCTCCTTTACTTGTGCACAATGTTGCGCACTCCACAGTTTCTAGTTATGAGTAGTAAACCAAAAATTCTTCTACTAAATATTCGTTGGCATCACCATCGTTTGCGCAGTTTTCTGGAACAAGTCTAGAATATCGACCGTTTGGCTATAAAATAACCATAACCGCCGATTGATAGAACTGTTTACGCTGATTTCAACGATACCAAATTTNTTATACATATAACACCGCGCGATAGTAAATTTTACACACAAAAATCAATATATTCGCGAAACAATGGGCTAAATATAATAAAATGGCGTTTTAAGTTTTTACTCTGACGTCAGTAATACAATATTGATTTAAAAAATTCAGTGAAGTATGCTTAGAAAAAAGTATGGGTATCANTATTTGCTTTGTTTGTTTATATTTTTTATTATCACTAAATTCTTGAAACCAAAAAGTAGATCATGATAAAATATGCATATCGAATTAAAGATAATAACTGATACTTCTAAATAGAATAAATTTCTTTGCTATTAATTATGCAGTTTTTTTTTCAAAAAAGGTTATTTCATGAAAAAAAACATTTGTTCATGTTTTAGTGGTTTTGGTTTGAAAATATAAAAGAGCATATAATATAATATATGGTGACGTCATCATTATTTTAATCGGTTATATAGTCCATACGATATTAATATTTAAAATATCAAAATATTGAAATTTAACCTTCTAGAACGTATTTATTTTTTACCTGCGCCGTACAATTGGAATGGTTGAAATGAGCGTAAAAAGTTCTACTGATCTGCATTTTTCGTTTTTGCCTAGCTGAATGGTCGATATT